CTACATTGTCAACATCCTGTCTCTCCCACCCCCATCCCATCCCCTTCTGGCACTCTATCGAAGGTGGTACTCAGCCTGTGCCCCTCACACACTCTGCCAAAGGATCCCACTCTACCCTTTCCTACCCGCTCATCACCCCTCCCTCACTCCTGCCTCTAGCTCTCATTCTCCTCCCCCTACTCCTGAATGCTGTCTTTCCCAGGTCCTCGGGCTACCACCTAGCACCAGGCTTCTCCTCTCTGTGGGCCTGCAACTGCCACCAGTCCTCCCTTGCCTGCTGTCCCTCTTGCCATTTTTGGTGTGACTGCCACAGCCTTATCTGGGGACAGCAATTCCTCAGCCCACCATTGAAGTGGGGGAATCTCTGGTGGGCCCTGGCTTTCCTCTTCTCTGTGTGCCCACTCTTTCTCTGTCTGAGATCACAGATAACCCCCCTGCCCAAAGAGTTTGGGGACCATCAGCGCTGGCCTGCAGCCCCATGACAGGCAGAAATGCCTCCAGTGGGATGTGCAAGCCTCCATCCCTGGAATGGGACTGAGACTTTCTTTGGAAATAAGGACTTTGCAGATGTGATTAACTTTAGGATGTTGAGATGGAGAGATCACCCTGAATTATCTCAGCAGGACCCGAATGCAGTGATGGACGTCCATAAAGAGGGAGGCAAGAGGAACGTTGACACACACAGACACATAGCAGGAGGTCGTGTAAAGATGGAGGCAAAGACTGTAGTGATGGGGCCACAAGCCAAGGGATGCCTGAAACCATCGGAAGCTAGAGCCTTCAGCAGGTGTATGGCCCTGCTAACACCTTGACTTTGGACTCGTGGTCTCCAGAACCATAAGAGTCCATCTCTGTTTGAAGCCACCAGCTAGTGGTCTTTTGTTATAGTCATCCCAAGAAACAGACCAGACTGGGCCTGGCTCAGCCCGAGGCATACCCCCCTTCTGTTTTCCCAGCAGCTCGGGACTAGCTACAAGGAGGTGGTCCTCAAAGCACAACTCCCTCTTGCCAGACCAGCTCCAGCCTCCGGCACTCCTGCCCTGTCCTGGCAGCCCATGTGCAGCAGGCACTGGGGCCCTTCAGCGGCTCTGTGCCATCTTGGAGACGGTGCCCTGTCCCACGTGTTCAGAGTGAAGCTTGAGACTGGAGCCCGGAGCCCACAGGGACGAGGTCTAGAGCCCCCAGGGGGACTAATGGTAGATGAACACTGCCCCTCCCCCCACTCAAGTTCTCAGAACAGCCTCTCCTCTGACCCTTCAGATTCTTCAAGGAGAGGTTGTTCTCCTGAGGGGCCCTGCCCGCATCCCTAGCCATAGCCTGGGGACACCTGGCCAACTGCCCCTCGGACAAGCCCTGACTCGTCTAAACCTAAGCAGTGGATTTGGCTTAGTCTCCAGCTGGGCCCTGCCACCTCCAGAAGGCACCTGACTAGTAATAAGTGCTCGGAAATGTCCCCCAGGCAAGCCCTGTGTCATTGAGTCCACTCCTTGGCGGCCTCTCCTTTCATGGGATTGTCCTCCCCTCCAACGGAGCTGTTCCCATGACTTCCATTGCCCAGCATGTGCGTGCGCATGTGCATGCCCGTGTGCACCAGCTCCAGCGTGCCCTGAGGCTCACACCCCTCCCCCGAACTGCAGGTGCACAGCCACCGCTCCTGGGGTGCTCCCAGCCCTCAGGCGGCATCCCTCCAGGAGCCTCAACTGGAGCACCACACTCTCACCCCGCCCACTCCCTTCCTTTCACCCCATGAACAATCAGTCACCAAGTCCAGGGGTTCCTGCTCAACCCAAGATCGGGCTGGAAGCAGGCCCCTCCCCCACCTTTCCCACACTTTTCTAACTGAGCCTCCCTCAGCCCACCGATCCACCTATAGTTTAGCATGCCCCTGCCAGCCCTCCGCAGCTCTGCCACCCTGGGATTCCTGTGACTGGAGCCAGACCCTGAGCTTCGCTAGGAGGAGGTGTACTTGAAACTGTACATGGAAGTATACGTGAAACTGTACATGGCAGCTGTTAGCCCGCCAGGGCAGTCCACTTGATGTTGCCATGGGTGTTTTTTTCTTAAAGTCCAATCAGTTTCAACGTTTGCATTCCTATTCCCCTTGTTCTTCCTTTTATTATTCATCATCCAATAGTTTGCAAACACACTTGATGTCAGAGTGGGGCTAAGTTTTTTTGTCGTTGACCAGTTGCTGTGGGTGAGAACTCTCTCCTCTAACCAGGACCCACAAGCCCTTTAAGGCTGGCCCTATTAACCCGCCTCCCCCTCCCCCGGACTCTGTCTCAGGGCCCAAACATTCTCCTGGGTGCCTCAGGGGCTCTGGTCTGGGCACAATGCGGGTCCTGCCTGCAGGGCACTGTTCCCTCTGGGGAGGGGTGACCCACCAAGCCTATAGACCCCTTCCCTGGGGTCCAGCCACAGGGGTCTCCTCTGTGCCTAACAGCCTTGGCTTGTGGCACCTGCATCCCCAGTGAGAGGGAGGAATAGAGGAAAGGAATGGCAGGAAGGCTGGGAAGGAGGGAGGGAGGGAGGAAGGGAGGAAAGAAAGGAGGGTGAGAAGACAGAGACCCACAGGGGGGAGAGGCTGTGCTGGACCCGCATAACAGGTCAGGCGCCAAGACCAGCACACAGAGAAAGGGCCCGAGGGCTCCAGGCTTCTGGCTCCACCAGGCCCCAGTGCCGGCTGCCCCTCCTCCCAGCTAGCAAGGGGACTTGACCGAGGCCCTGACTCCTGGCCCTGGGCCAGTGCCCTTGCCCTGAGCCTGCCCAGCTCAGCAGAGATTGCTGGGCTGTGGAGCACATGGCCCAGAATAGTGCTATGATGCCGACGGGTGACATTCTATCGCCGGGCTGCCACTGCGAGCAGCGCCTCTCATCCCCAAAAGGAGAAACCTGGGGACACCGGGTGTCCCGGTGCCAGGCCAGGTGGAAGGGCAGGTGGCTGCATGTGCTGAGTCTCCGGGTTCCTCTCCTGGGCTGCCACTCCCAGTGGGCCCTGCCTGCTCTATTTTTGTGAGTGGCCTGTGGCTGCCCCGGGAAGCCCTGGGCCCCACCGCTAGAGACAGAGCCCCCTCACGTAGCACAAAGAAAAAGCAGCCAGGATCCAGCCTGCCGCCGCCTCAGACTTCTGGGCATGCCAAGAGGGCATTGCTCTGGGGACTGTCCCTCCCACCCGTGTCCAGTGAGCAGGATTTCCCGGCTGTGCTCTGGATCTTCTCTTGGGACCGGCGCCAGCACACTGCAGCCTGGGCGTGGCTCAGCTGGCACGCGGTGTGCCTTATGGGGTGGAGGTTGTGCTGGAACCTGGGCCAGGCCAGCACAGGTGGGCACACGCAGCACACAGAGCACTGCCCTGCCCCAGAGTGCGCCTCCTGGTGCTGACACAGGAGCCCGTCAAGAGGGACAATGGGGCTCCTGGCCAGTGTCACTCAGTGGTTGAGCGTCGACCTAGGAACCAGGAGGTCACAGTTCGATTCCCAGTCATGGCACATGCCTCAGTTGCAGGCATAATCCCCAGTGTGGGGCGTGCAGGAGGCAGCCGATCCATGATTCTCTTTCATCATTGATGTTTCTCTCTCTCCCTCTCCCTTCCTCTCTAAAATCAATAAAAAAATATATTTAAAAAGAGGGGCAATCAGGGGACCCCTAGGACTTCCTGACTCCCCTGGAAGGGGTCTAGCCTGGTGCCTTGCATCCTGCAGGTGCCTGGCGAACACTCCACTCTGAAAGGGCAGATGCCACCGGGGTGGGCTACTCCAGGAGCCCACTCTAAGGACAGCTGGGGCAGTAGAAGTGCCTAGAAGGGAGGGGAAGGGGCCAGGCCGTGGCCTCCCTCCTGGTCACCAGGGCCTCTTGTACAGCCCCACACCTGGAGGTGCCCAGGACCTTCAGGGAAAGCAGCAAAGACAAAGCCCCGGGCTTGGAGGGGGCATAGAGAGGCAGAGCCGGGCAGCAGGCCAGAGTGGCCCCCCAGTGCCACCCTGAGAACAACGACACATAGAGCCATATTGCACAGTGTTTCTTTAATTGAAAGACAGCATCCGACCTCAGAAGCAGCCCTTCCTCAAGCTTGAAACTCCACACCAAGGGCCGGGCGTGAGGTGGGGGTTTCAGGGTGAAATGCAAGACCTAGCCATCATGGGGGAAGGGGGACAATGAAAAGCGTGCTTGGGACTCCAGTGGGATGCTGGGCCCCTCCTGGGGGCCTGACTTCCGGGGTCTGACTGAGCCCAGTGCTTCCCCTCGTGACTAGAGGGGGCAGCACCTCCATCTGCCGCCTGCAGGCCCAGGCTTAGGGGAGAGACCTGGGCAGGGAAGACTGATGTGGGGGGCAGCTGCACCCCACCCACCGGCTTGCCTGGGTGGGAACTGGGCAGAGGCCTATTGTGACAGAGATCAGATCTAGCCCAAGGATGAGAAAGAGAGTGTGTGTGGGGGACTGGTCTAAGAGTCAGTAGACCAAGGAAGCTCCAATGGATGGGCCATGAACTTGCATAAAGATGGGGGTCCATTGGGGGCCAAGGATGGCAGACCAGGCCAATGAGGGCCGGAAGCCTCAAGTTCATGTGAAGGAGGAATGTGCCCCAGGCAGGCGCGGTGGGCTCGGAGGGGTCTGCTATCTCCATCCCTGCTCATCCCCTCCTGTCCCCCAGACCAAGGGACTGGTTTCCCTGGATTGGAGCTTCAGACAATTTGGTTTCAGGGTGAAATGAAAGCAAATTTGGTGGGAGCCCCTCTGAATGGCTATGGTGGGGGGAGGGGCAGCTCTGAAGCCAAGGGTACTTGTGATGGGTCTGGGCCTGGTGCCCCACCTGCATGCTTGGGAACCAGGGTGAAGGTGTCAGGGGGCAGCGAGTGGGGGGAGGGGTTGGGGCTGGAGGGGGGGCTGGGTTGGGTGCAGCTGGGCACTGGCTTGGCTCCCTCGCTCTGCCTCAGCCTTCAGGACATTCGCTGTGCTCCCCAGAGACCCGGCCCAGGCCACCGCAAGGCTGCTGCTGCCTCTACTTCTTGTAGTTGCCAAACTGGATGGCCAGACGGTCGGTGACACAGCGGAAGGTGGCTGGCTGCACCTCCCAGTAGGGCACAGGGTTGTTGAAGAGGCTGATGCCGTTGTAGTAGGCCCGCTTGACCCCGAAGCCCATGGGGCAGAAGTCGTTGACGCCCACCTTGGTGATGTTGTTGGTGTGCAGGTAGACCACCTGGGGCAGAGGGCCGTGGCCTAAGTTCAGCGCCAGTGCCCTCCCCCCACCCCAACCACCTTTGCCGAATCTGGCCTGGCGGCCACCTGGGCACTACTTCATTGCATTGCATCCAGCAGGAGGAGCAAACCAAGGCTGGAGTATGGTGGTCAGACATGTGTGTGACCAGGGGCTGGGATGAGGGGTTCAGGTGGGTTTGTGATAGGAGGGAGGTGACGGGCACATGGGGGTGGGGGCGGGGATGGGGTGGAAAAATCCATGCAGAAAAGATGGCACCTTGGGCTCCCAGAGGGTCCCTGGCCTTCCCTCTGGGTTCACCGAACTCCCTCCCGGCCTGGCCCTCTCAACTTCTCATTCCAGGGGCCCCGGGACATGACAGGAGAAAGAACTTTCAGGGTAATTTTCTTTTCCTCCCGGTCCTCAGCAGCACTTGCCCTCTATCAGCCTCCCCCAACTCCCTGAAGCCCCTCTCTAGGGGAGGGCTGAGCAGACAGGAGTGTGGGTGGTATGACGTCCAATGACCAGGGGAGGCGCTCGTGTGCAACAAGCGCCCTCTAGAAGCGGAGAGGAACTGGTCACTAGAGGGCGCGCTCAGCCCAGCACCGCGCCTGCTGCAGCTGGACTGCCATGCAAGCAGAGCTCTGGCTGGACAACCCTGGGAATGGGGCTGAGGAAGAATCTGAGGGGCCAGAGCAGGGCTGGGCAAGACCAAGCTTACTCCTTGACTGGAAGCTAAGCCAGGGAACAGAACCCAGGCAAGGCCCTGCACCACCACCCCATCAGCCCACTTCCTGCCTTGGGCTATCCCTATCTTGGCACGTAGTTGTTCATCCTCAGGCCCTTCCTGTTCCCCGACCTCCCAGACCCTGCCGTCTTGGGAGACCTTCAGCTCCAGTATCTACCAGGCCACCTCTGGCTTATCTGTCACAACCTCTCTCCAGCCCATCCCACCCTCCTTTGCTACCCTGCCGTCCTCCCCCTCTTTCTCAGCACAGACTCGTGACTGCTCCTTTCCAGATGAGGAGGCAGAGGCAGAAGGAGAAGGAGTAAGTGGCCAGACTATGCAGCTGCCTCTTGTACAGCGAGTTCCTGTTCCACTCTCTACTTGGGGCCTGAATCGGGAGGGGCAGGGAGGCCAAGGAACTGGCCTGGGGACATGGGCTGCTTCCCTCCCCCAGTCTTAGAGGACTTGGTACCAGGTTGCCCGCCCCTCTCCCCCGCCCAGCTCTCACCTGGAGTAGCTTGAGATCCGGAAGGCCAGCAGGCACCTTGGACAGCTTGTTGTTGTCCAAGTGCAGCTCCCTCAGGGTGGGCAGAAAGCTCAGGCTTCCGTTCTCGATCATGCGGATCTGGTTGTGGCCCAGGCCCAGCCTGCAAACGGAAGGAGGAGATGTACTGAGAGGCCAGAGGAGAAGAGGGCTGAGGGGTGGGCCCCCCGCCTGGGCCCCAGCCCACCTGTACAGCTTGGAGTACCGGAGCAGATCCTCCAGCTCAATAGCCTGGATTTTGTTGTGGTCCAGGTGGAGTTCATTCAGGGTCTCAGGGAGGTCTGCCGGGACAATGAATGTAATGAATGCAGGAGGGTGTGGCTGCTGTGTGTGTGTGGCGGGGGGGGGGGGGGGGGGGGGGGGGGAGAGAAGAGGTAGGGGAGGAAGGCCCACTGAAGTCCTCCCTATAAGGAGACCAGGTGGCTCTAGAAGGCTCTAGACCCCCAGCTCTGCCCAGCGTGGGAGGAAAAGGCTGTGTTCCTACCTTTGGGGATGCCGGTGAGCTTGGCCTCAGAGATGCGCAGGTAGTTGAGCTTCAGGCCATCGAAGGCTCCAGGTTCAAAGCCACTGTTTTCCAGGGGGTTCCCGCCCATCTCTAGGAGAGAGGCCCCCTCAGCCCCGGAGCCAGAGCGGATGGAGCTTGAGCTGCTGCCCGTATACCCTGGGGCCTGCTGGCCTCCTGGCTTGGGTTGGCCTGATGAACCCAGTCAATTGCCGGCCCCTCTATTTCCCCCTGAAAGCAACCACTGATTTATGGGACAAATTGCTGTTCAAGATCACTAGCCCCCAAGGGGACTAGCCCTGCATCGGGCTCAGTGGGCAGGGGGAGCAGGAGGAAAGGGTGAGCCCATGGCAGGCCCTGGTTGGCTATCTCGTGACATTTGTCCTTTCCCTTCCCTCTCTCTACAGTCCCCTGATTTCTCTTCACCCTGTTAGGCTGCTCTAGGGCATGCCCCTAGACAAGGCTCCAGAATATTCTGTGAGACCCATTCTGACCAGAAGAGGTCCCGGTCCCAGTCTCTGACCCTTCCTCACAGCCACCAGGACGGGGGCTGTTCTGGTCCACACTCACCGATGCAGTTCATGTTGCGCAGCCCACTGAACACGCCCTTGGGCACCTTGCGGATGCGGTTGTCATGGATACGGAGCTCCACCAGGGAGCTGGGCAGGTTGGGAGGGATCTCCACCAGGTGGTTCTTGGAGATGTAGAGCTTCTGCAGCTTCCGCAGGGGGCTGAAGGCCTTCTCATGTATCTTAGAGATTTTGTTGTTCACCAGGACGAGAGCCTGAGGGGGTGGGGGTGGACGTCATTGGAGGTGAAGGCCCAGCTTCCTGGCCCACCCAGCCCTCTCTTCTCTCTCCCTCCTGGAGGCGGAGGCAGAGAGAGCAGGAGTAAGTGGCTGTCATTGGGACTTCAGAGGTGTTTGAGGCCCAGCTGGGTGGCAGAGTGCAGAGCGCAGAGCTCGGAGTCAGGTGATGCCACTACTGCCTAGTGTGGCCCAGCACTTCTATGAGCCTCAGTTTCCCCACTTGTACCCTAGGCTACAATGAAATATGTTCTTGCGAAAAATCATTAAAGTTTCCAGCCAAAAAGGGGATTAAGCTGAGTGATCCCGTACTGCCCTGTGGTTGCTGACACCCATGCACGTGACCCTGACCCCGGGCACTCCCTCCATGCCAACCTCAGACTTCTTTCAGGAACCCACAGTTCCCAGGTCCCTCTTGCACTCCACAAGTATACACCCACACCCCCATCTGGATCCACTCTTAGCTGCAAGGCCCTTTGAAAGGGTGGGGCGGACCCGGCCAACGTGGCTCAGTGGTTGAGCATCGACCTATGAACCAGGAGGTCACGGTTTGATTCCCGGTCAGGGCACATGCCTGGGTTGCAGGGTCCATCCCCAGTGTGGGGCGTGCAGGAGGCAGCCGATCCATGATTCTCATCATTGATGTTTCTCTCTCTCTCCCTCTCCCTTCCTCTTTGAAAAAAAAAAAAAATATATATATATATATATGTGTGTGTGTGTGTGTGTGTGTGTATAATATATATGTATATATGTATATATGTATATATGTGTGTATATATATATATATATATATATTTTTTTTTTTTTTAAAGGGGCAGGGCGGGCTTACATAGAGGTGCTGCAGGCCTTTGAAGTCGTCCTTCCGGAGCTCAGTGATGTCATTGTTCTGGAGGTCCAGCAGTGTGGTGTCGGGGGAGATCTCCTTGGGCACAGACTTCAGACCTGGGGACCAGCGCCGCTGTCACCCATGTGAGCCCAGGCCACGTCTCCGAGAGGCTCAGAGCAGAGGGCACTCACACACACAGACACGCACCCAGGGACCCCGCCCCTGCCACTGCCACCGACCCACACTGCAATCAGCATCCCAGAGCCTGTCTAGGGTCACCCATCTGCGCCCCCATCCTCCCACGCCCATCCCACAGGACAGAGGTGTATCCCCTTGCTAGGGGCACTTGGGCTGTGCCCACACCTCCACACACCCCTCCCGCCACGGAGACTGACCTAGGTCCGAGCACTGAACCACCCGCAGGTGGCAGTGGCAGCCGAAAGGACACATGGCGCTGAAGGTGGGCGTGAGGGCATCCAGGTCCGGGACGCCCGAGGTGTCGGCACCGGAAGCCTCCTCATCGTTCAGCATGGTCACCCCATCGTCCAGGGTGAAGTCCCAGAAACCCTTTTGCTCGAAGGGCAGGGCCTGGCTCAGGGCCAGCAGGGACATGAGGAGCCAGAGGGGCCACATGACGGATGTGCCTAGTGGGCCAGGGCAAGAAGGGGCCGTCAGGAGGGCCCAGCCCGCACCCACACCCATCCTCTTGGCCCTTTCCCCGGCCACCCTCCCCACACCAGGGGCTGGTGTTCGGTGTGTGTTGTCATCGTGTCCCCCATCCATCACTGGGAACCGAGTGGACCGAGTGGACCACTCCCCTCTGCTCCCAGGCAAGACTTCAGTGGGAATTGCAATGTCTTCCCAGTTAGGGAGTCTGTAGCACCCCCCCCCCCCACTGAGTCAGCGAGCAGCTGCCTGGGGGGTCAGGGAGGCGAGTGGAGGAGGCGGAGAGAGAAACCCAATCATTTGCCCCCCACACGCTTTGAAGATACCACTGTGGCCCCGTGCCAATCCCACAAGCTCAAGGCAATGTGGGTGCAGTCGGGGTTGAGTTAAGGGATTATGAGTCGCTTCCTTTCCTGACTGAGCCCCCCACCTTGCAGCGCGCCCACATCTTTTTTTACAAAAGCCAAGAGGCCAAGGCACCAGGCTGGGCACGCTGGGCCAAGACCTGGGCTCGTTCCAGAGGCAGGAGGAGAAAGAGAGTGGCATTCCTCGGGGCACAGCCCCCTCATCCGCTTCCCCACTGTCCCCCCGGGCCTCGGCTTCCTCACCTGGCCCACAAGCCTTCCCGTGGCTGGGCTCGTAGAGTCCTGGGGTTCTCACCCTTCCATCTGCCCAGGGTGCAGGCCCCTGGACCCCCTCACCCCCCACAAGTGGAGCAGACTGCCAGCAGGGTGGTGAGCAGGGTCAGGCTTGTCTGGAGGCCCCCAGGCTGGGCAGGGAGGTGGAGGTGGGGCACTTCCGTGCCTGAGCCTGCCCCTAGCACCCACAGGGGCCTGCCTCCTTCTCCTCCAGAAGAGGCTGCCCCCAGCCAGAGGCTGCTCTTCCCAAAGGCTCTGTACCAGGCAGGAGCCAGGGCCCATGCCTCTCCTATCTCTCCCACCTACAAGGGTTTCCTGGAAAAGTCCCAGCCTCATTTTCCCCATCTGTTCAACAGGAATCAGAGTGTCCTCCCCACTGCTTGCCTCGCAGCTTTGGGGTGGGGGGTAAGGGGTGGGAGGACCAGCAACGGCCCATGCCTCCTGTAGACCCAAATTTGCCCTACCCAGGGAAGCCCTCACTTGGTGCCCATCTTGGCCAGGAAAGGGGCTGTTTGGAGCATCAGTGGGGCTGGGGAGCCCCCATCCTGAGCCTGGATGCGGGCTGCAGACATGGAAGGGAGGCCTGGGGGTGGAGGGCTCTGCCTGCTCTAGGCCAGCACCTTCGGAGCAGCTTGGACCCACCTACTGCTCTCCTGGGCAGGCCCATTGGACGTGGGGTTGGGTTGGCTACCGGGTGGTACCTGGGACCAGCTCAAGGCCTGAGCACACAGCTGTGACCCTTAGATTCTCAGCCATCCCTGTCTTGCTGTCCCCTCCAGGACTCCTGCAGCCCCAGGTCATGTGGCCCGCCTCGGTTCCCATGGTGCCTGAGGATACAGCTGAGGAGGGATGACAGGCGGAGTCCAGGCCACGGTTCTGTTGACTAAGCTGCAAAGCCAGCCTCAGAGGGCCCCAGCCAGGCTCCTACCGCCCTCCTGAGTGCATGGCCCCCTGGTGGCAGGCTCAGAGAAGCTGCCTGCCTACCCCAAGTCACACAGCAAAGTGAGGGTCCCCCATACTGGAGCCGTAGCCAGCCTCTCTGGCTTGCACCCGATTCTGCCACCCCCAGGCTGGCCATGCTGACTCAGGGGACCTCCAGAAGGCCTTGGCTCAGGGTAGGGAGAAGGCATGGGGCTTGCCTACCTGGACAGCGGGTCCCTCCTTCTTCCCCTAAGTTTGCAACTCTCAGGACAGAGTGGCGTGGGTCTAGGCCTCCCGGGCCTGTTACCTCTGCTCAGGTCCCTTGCCCAGGTGCCGTTGGCTGCTCAGGGCCAGGCAGAGAGGAGGAGGAGCAGTGGGAGAGAACAGGAAGGGGAAGACGAAGGCAGGAGAGAAGATGGAAGGGGAGAGAGGGAGGAGACTGCTCCCCCCTTTGTCTGGCACCCCTGCCAAAGCTTCTCCCTTACAAGGGGGATGAGTCAGGGCTGGAATGCCCAGCAAGAGCCTTGGAATTCTCTGGGATGCACAGTCAACCTTGATAGGTAGGGTTGGGGTGGGGGGGTCTGGGTGGGGAGAGGTGGGAGCAGATGGGCCCCGTGCAGCCTGGAGCTGGAGACAGCTGGGATGTCCACAGGGCACATCTGCCCTGGTGTCTGGCCCCTCCACTGGGGCAGAGGATGGTCAGGCACAAGAGGTTGCCCGGGCCCTGCCCTGGGGGCCGGGGCTCTGGAGGGGCTGCGCCAGCTCAAAGCTACCCTGCCCGACATCACTGCATCTTGGGTCCAGCCCGGCTCCAGCGCAGACACACTCTGAGGGGAAGGGAGGCTGAGGGCTTGGAGGCCCTACACCAGGACCCCGTGACAGAGGCCGAGGACAAGGTTTGGCTGGTTCTCCCCGGTTCCTGGCTGGGCCCAGGCAGTGGGCAGGCTGGCGGGTGGAGGCTGGGCGGGCTTCCCGGCACAGCCCTCATTTCCCCTCGAGGGCCTGGCATAGGACTCCGCCAGAACTATGCAGAGGGGAGGGGGCTGGCTGGACAGCGTGCCTGCAAGGGGCGGCCAGAGACCCCCCCAGAGGCAGAAGGAGCCAAGAAGGGGCCTCAGGGGGTGCCCAGGGGGAAGGCTTCCCTGTGTCCTGCGCAATGAGGACCTCTATTTTATGGGAGAGAAAACTGAGGCCTAGAAAGGGGAATAGATTTCCCCCCCTCCCCCGAGTCACTCAGTCTGAGACCAAAGGGCCCGGCTCAGGCAACTCCAGGACCTGAACTTCCAGGCCTTGGCCTGGCCTCTCAGCACCCCGTGAAGGACGGGGTCTCTGGGTGGCTGGCTTGGCCCAGCGTGGGCAGGGCAGAGCCTGGGGGATTCCCAGCCAGGATGCTGATGATCAGGGTGGGGGATTGTGATTAGGGTGGAGGATTGCGGAGAGGTAGACAGGCCCAGCTGCCCCAGTTTAAGGGTGCCCATGCCTCCTCCCCCATCAGCTCACACTGCCCGCCCCCATCCCTTTCAGGAACACACACATGTAGGAGGCAGGAAGGCCAAAGCCCAGGAAGTGGGAGCCCCCCATGGACAGATAATGTGAGAATTGCAGCAAGTCCCCCCAACGCCACCTCCCCACACCACCAGGGGCTTTGGGCCTCAGTTACCCTTCATCTCCCCTCCCCACCCCGTCCCCAGGCATGTCCCCAGGACTTCAGGAAGGGCCTCCAGCCCCATCAAAGCGGGCTCTGAGCTCTCTGGACCCCACCTCCTCAGAGCAAAGGAAAGAAGTGGTAATGGCTGTGAGGCCTCAGCCTGGCGCCCACAGGTGTGAGCGAGGGAGGAGACCCGGCTTCCTGGAGCCTGCGCCTCCGACCCAATAGGGCCCTTCTTGTCTGGCCCTCTGGAAGTCGGAACAGTCCTCCGAGCAGGATTGCTCCAGGTCGCAGCCAAACAAGACACATTGGCAGCCTCTGAGAACATGGACGGGCCGTTCCAGGCATTCAGGCCAGGCCAAGGGCGGCAGGAGCAGGACTTGAGGTCTGGCAGGCCTTGGGAGCTCGCCGGCCGAGGTGCGGCCCACAGCTGCCAAGCCCTAGACTCTGGGCGCTCTCCCTGGGCCCCAGCTCGCTGTGTCTGGCCCCACTGAGCAACCCGACCTGAATTCTGACACACGTGCCACCTTACACTCAGCCCTGCCAGGTCTCTGGGACTGCATGGGTGAGGTGTGCGGAGTGGAAAGGGGGAGGTGATTCAGGGTGACCTTCCTCCCCTACTCAATCCTGTTCACCAAGCCCTCGGGGCCCAGCTTCAACCAGCAGGCAAGAGGCAGGGTTGCTACCCAGGCTGACCCTGGGGTGCTCCCTATGGCCCCCCAGACTCCCAACAACTCTAGTCTGTGCTTGGGGTCAAACAGAGAGTGGGTACATGTACCCCCCATGGATCTGCTGAAGCCCACGTGTGCGTGCTGTGGGGATGACTCTGCTGCTGGCTGGGGTGGGGAGGGGTTGGTCCCTGAGCCCCACCCTGTCTGTGTCTGTGTCCCAGCCACCCTGATCCCACTGCCATTGTCTCAGCATGCCCTCAGGCGACAAGGGGAGCAGATGCCCACGTGTGGCTCGCTAGGTCAGCTCCTTCCTGTTGTAGCCCTGGCGTTGCTGGGGTGACTGGACAGAGCTGGGTCTCCAAGGACAGCCAGACTCCATCTGGACATGGTGTCAGAGGCTGCAGGAAGCCAGCCCATTGGCTGCAAAGGGCTGCCACGGGAAAGGGGGGAGGCAGCTGGTGTTGGCCAAACCAGACTCCCCTCCCCTAATGTCGAGGAGAGCCAACCCCTCCTGCCCCCACCCTGCCAGGAGAAAAGCAAGAGGGTCAACCTGTGTCAGCCAGGGGTCCTGAGTTCCCTGGTCCTTCTGCACCTAAGCTGTGTGCCCTTCCTCCTCCTCCCACTGATGAAAAAATCCTGAGCTCCTCACCGTGTTCTAGAATCTTTGAGGAGCCCGGCTGGTGTGGCTCAGTGGTTGAACATCAGCCTATGAACCAGGAGGTTAGGGTTCGACTCCCGGTCAGGGCATATGCCTGGGTTGTGGGCTCAAACCCCATCATGGGGCGTGCGGGAGGCAGCCGATCAATGATTCTCTCTCATCATTGATGTTACTCTCGCTCCCTCTCCCTTCCTCTCTGAAATCAATAAGAATATTTTTTAAAAAATAGAATCTTTGAGGAAAGGGGAGGATGCTATCCCCTCCCAGGGCGGGGCAGGAAACTCAAATGATTTCCCAATGACCATAGAAGGCAGCCCTGCTTTTTACTACTTGCTGAATGGGTAAGATGAGGCTCCGGGCTTGCCCAAGGCCACCCAGTGAGGAAATGGGGGAGCTGGGACTTCGCTGTCTGACTGTCTTCCACCCATGTG